CACAGCACGTTTCCGGGCGGTACGCTTCGGAGAGTTTTCCTTCTATATTCGTTTTATTTAAATCGAGAGAGCAAGAAACATGCATCAATTGCATATTCGTAGAAACATCTTAAGATGGAGGCTTGGGCGAGTTGGCTATTCATGGCTTATAGGTAAAAGCGCAAAACGTAACGCACACTGTGACCACACGCACACCGTCAAAAAAGGAATCTCTCACGTCGCGCTATTTACTCGGATTTGTATTTTTGTCTTCTTACTTTACACCGGTAAGGAACAGAAAAGAAAAACAAAAATTGTTATCACACTTCATTGTTTTCGTTCTGCTGCTAAGTAAGACAACTTTTATTCTGCGTGGTATTTCGTCCTCTTCTAAACGATTTCAAAGTCTAACGCGCTTGTTACCTTCGAGTAGAGTCTAGGTACATAACAACGTCTTGAAAAGTAATATAGAAGGATTGCTAACACATGTGTCACTCTGCTTCACGATGCTTGCTGCTTCGATGACTCACTCCAATCACAAAAAATAGAAATCATTGACCAGCGGGATTTGCTCAAAACTCGGATTCGATCGTGTCCCCCGCAGTTGGAAGCAATGACGGCGGCACCCCGCCATGTTCTTCGCTTATGCGCTAAAATATGCCTCTACGAAGAACTTTTGATTTCGCCGGTCCAGAAATATAGTAGGACAATAAGAGGAGCAAAAATACTTGTCGTGTAGATTTGATCAATCTTTGGCACTGAAGAATGTACTTCTCGTGTAGATTTTATCAATCCTTGGCACTGGAGAATGTCATCCCGTAGTTCACTATGGGATGACGTTCTCCAGCGCCAAAGATTGATCAAATCTACGCGAGAAGTATTTTGCCTCCTGTTATTGTCAGACTGTACTCTCTGCTCGCTGGTGGATCGAGGAGACTTATATCGCGATTGAGATGATCGCGACTGTTTTCGCAAGTGCATTGAGGGGATTTGTGTTCCCAATTTCTAGGTTCTTTGAAAAAAAAATAAAAAGGGTTTGTATCGATTGTAGTTTTGAACGTTTCGTAAATCGCTGCTGCAGGTAAGCTGACATCGATTCGAAACTGAGGTCGGCTGTTACGATGTCTACGCGAAAAGTTTCTGCTAGGAACCGCTCCGTGGCTCCACTATCTTGTCGTATGCTTCCAAAAAAACTCCACTTCAAACTAGACGAGGGGAGGGGACAGAGAAAGAGCATCTGTTCACGCGCGCTCTAACATAGCATTGAGAGGACTAAAACTTGGCATCAACGAAAGAACATTGCAACTCGCGTCTCAGAGTCCAATCAAAAACGCTGTGATGATTTCCTTTCTTGTCTACAAGCGTTACCTAACTTGCTTAGCTGCAACCGGTCATTATTTTTTTTTACTATTTTTGTTCTTGTTTTATTTTAAAACTTTATATCACCGTAGGCAGCGTTGCCCATTTTGGGACGAAGGGAACATGGGGAAGCCAGGAGAGGTGATGCGTGGTGATGCACAACCGCAAACGCGACCTAAAAATATCCCAATTTGCTCGCCAGGAGTGCTGCTCAGAACCTCAAAGGTACAGGTATGTTGCATCTCGCGTCCCGAGCTGTCTTCTGCCCATTACGAGAATCTACACCCTCTTCAGTTCTGATCAGTGAAAGCGTGCACGCTGCGGACACTTGACACTTTCGCTTCTCGAGGCCGTTCCTTTTTTGCTGTTCTATCCTCGGCGACGTCGTTCCACACGTTTTCTTTTGTCGTCTCGGGAGCTCACGCGAGAGCGACTCGGGTAAACAACGCGCTTACTTTCAGGCGCGTGCGCTCAACGGCGGGAGCGACGAAGAAAAGCAGCGAGGGTTCTCCTTGGGGAAAGCGGTCCGTCGTCTTGGATCCGGGAGTCGACGGGCCGGGGCCGTACCGCTAATGAACTGAACTAATTAGGCATCCAAACAAGCCCTCCTCGCCCTTTTTCGTCGCGGCTCTCACCTGCTCTTCGCACGTCAGCTGCAGGCGCCGGTGACGAGTTGCCGCCACTCGCCTCGAGTGCATCTCGTCGGTTGGCTTCTCGTCTTCGCGTTTTGGTAGTACTCTGGCAGTTTTTTGGCCACGCCATGGGGCGCTCCCTCTGTTTAACCAAGGTCTAAGCTGCGGACAGCAGGTGCCGAGCCACGCGGCCTCCAACATTATAATTATTCTTAATTAATTCGTTGATTTTCTTAAGGTGCACACTTCGTCTGGGGGCGATACGGACTCAACAGAGCGAACAAACACGCACACACACACACACACAGACGCACACGCACAGACAGATACGTATACGTACGGCTACAGTGGAAAAAGATCGGTTCAAGTGACCGATGACCGAGCGGCAAAATCGCGACACGCGGCGATATTGTTCACGAGCGAGCCGAAAGCGAGTGTGCCAATCACATTCCGTGTGTCAACACGGGTATTGCCGGCAAAAAATTGAGGGATAAGACAGCTTTCGAAATGCTTTCTACCAGCCACCCCGCGTTGAGACATGGAACGTGACTGGCAGTCTCGCTATCGGCGCGCTCGAGAGCAGTCCTGCCGCGTGCCGCGGTTTTGCCGCTCCGGTTGTCGGTCATTTGTGCTAATCTTTTTTCCGCTGCAGGTGTACACACACGCACGCACGCGCATACAGGGGCAGACTCGGAGAGAGACAGACACGCGCACACACACGCAGACACATACGCACACAAAAAAAAACATTATGGGAAGCCTGGTGCTGCCGGTAGATGTCGTGGTAGAATACGTAAGAGGTCCGCTGCGGTGCGCGGTATGTGTCTCTTTGTCGACGGCACGGTAGGCGTCGGAGCGAGTGCCATTTTCCGAACATCTTTGGAGTTGGACGATTTCCATCGGCCCGGGCTGATAGCGAACGCGTCTATTTGCCGACGTCTTGGCGCTAACAGAGCGCAAATTCGAGCCATGGCACGCTGCTCGCTTTCGATTCGTGAGCTGCATCGACTGGAGATTTGTGGCGCAAAGTCTTAGGTGAAGTTTGTTGCCATTAACAATGAACGCGCAACGATGTTGGGTACATTTCCGAAGGCAGCAACCAAAACGTTGACCACATTGGTGCTTGAATTGGTTCGAACATTGTCAGGGGAAATGAAACACTTCTAATTACCGCTATAGATGGCTCGCACCGACGTCACATTAGCAGACATTCTGATGGCTTTGCGGCTGAGCGCCTCACTTCTGGTGCATACAGTCTACATGATCGATTTCTTTTTTCTGGGGAAAAACAAGAAGGAACGACCGCCAGCGTGATATGGGATAACGTCACGTGGAAGCCGTGTGTAGCTGAAGGTCTATTCACACACGAGCGTTTGAGGTGTGACGTTACGGCTGAAACGTTGCCCAGATATTTTTTCTTCACCCAATATTTATTATGCCACCACAACCTAAACTTTTAACTGTTGTATACCAACTTTTGCATGAAAAAAAGTTGCCCTTGGGGTGCCTTGGGAGGGGGGGGGGGGGGGGACAAGAGAGAGGAGGGGATTTCTCATTTTAATCCATTACATTTTTTTTAAGTCACGTTCACAAGTCTGCTACAAACGGACTCCATGCATTACTCGGGGACTCGCGGTTGCACAGCGGCAGACGTGTTGGTGTCGCCGCGTGCTTGCGTAGCGCCCATAGCCTCCTATATACTCACAAATCCTGGCAGATCGCCACGAGAAGCAGTCGCCGAAATGGAAAAGGCGCAGAAAACGAAGGAGAGGAGAGCCACGTGACTGGCGCCCCGCTGCGACGAGACGCCGAAACAAACTTTTTTCCGAGCGAGCAACTGTCTTTCGGGTCCTCGCCGCTGCAAAAGCTGTGCGCTGACGTCCAGGCTCCCCTAAAAATGTCTCTGTGATGCTCTGTGCTACCAGATCCTCGCGCTACACATCTCCGACCGGGCACTCTATGGCTCCGTCGTCGAACTTCCGAGCTTAGTGAGTAAACTATGGTAGCGTTTATTGTAAGACGTTGCAAGACGCGCTGACGGCGATACTGACACAAGCGAGACGGCGCCGCGTGAACACACTAGTGATCACGGTGCCCGGAACACGTCTACGACTGGTGTGTTTAGCGTCCTATCCCGCCCCCTACAACCACGGTGGTCCCGAAGATGCAACAATTGACGCGCACAGAAAACGGAATGTCATTATGTCAGACGTCGCAATCCTGGCAGTTGGTCGTAAAAGTTTCGTAAAGAAAACACGAGGGAACGCGAGCGTCACTGTCGTCACGGCGTCCCAACTCCCGGTCTCCGAAACCTCCGTGGACTGTCAAGCTGCAGAGCTACCCGCGGCAGAACAGTCGTCTGCCACGGGCCACCCCCGCCGCTGTAACACCTCCAGGATCGCGGTGGGCGACAGCGCGTGACACTTGCGTGACGTCATGAGGCAGAAATTGAAAGATTACTTTTTGGGACGCGCTAAACACACCAGTCGGAAACGAGTTCAGGCACTGCAGTGATGACGTTTCGGGAAGGGACGCGGCGCACAAACAGCTGGTATTGGGTCATGGCATTGGTAGTTCCTACTGCGCTAGAGTTCCTGCGGTGGTGGTGCGTCTTTGAGCAGGTCCCGCCCAATTCAGACACGATATGCAGTTTGGAAAACTCGAACCCAATCTTATGTCGTCTAAATCGAAACGCAACTCACGTGACCCTTTAGCTAAAAAAAAACTATAGATACATTTTGCAAATGTATTCTACAGGTCAGGTGACCTACACGATTACCGACTGCCGTTAGTTCATACTCTTGTATATATTTCTCTATATTTAATCGCACAGACTAACCGCAATGTCCACCTGGTGCGCGTTCCTTGCGTCGGGTCGTGGCTGCACGAAAACTGTCCGATCGCACTTGTAGTTTTTTCCAGGCAGTCCATTAAGATGAGACTAAGTATACCTGTCTGGTTACGTGCAAACACGTCTGGAAGTGACCGCGACGATCCTCCCTGATCCTTCTTCCCTTTCTCTTCTTGCAGAAAGGCACTGTTGCCCTCAAGTTCGGCTCCATGTACCTCACTGTCCCGTCTGTCCGGGTAAGCACGCCACCCTCCTGCTATCCACTCAATACAGTGGTGTATAGACCTTTCCTTCAAGGGCGCCGCCATCTTGAATTGTCGTCACTTCCAGTGTGGGCGAAAACATTGTTTTGCCGTCGCCGCGCCAGTAGAAGACACTTCGGATAAAAGCGTAACCGTCACACATTATTGTTTTGCCTCCCCCTTATTTTTTGACTAGCTACAGGTTAAAACGTTTTAGTATTTTTTCGTCGCCCATACCGGATACGCCCACTGTCAAGACCGGTTATAACGAAGTCAGAGGGAATCGGAAATCACTTCGCTATATCCGCTATATCGTTATAACCGACTTCGGTTATAAAATCGTGCAAAAGAGAATGGGAAATCGTGATCGCTTCGCTGTAGCCGCTATTTCGTTATAACCGACTTCGTTATAACGGGTCTCGACAGTATTAGGTGGCTGGGGACGAGAGTACACAGAAAAGGTCTATACGGAACGGCGTTCTTGGACCAGGTTTTTTTAAGGAGGAACGGAGGAACGCCGCCGTTCTATTTTACGCTGGTAAAACTGGAACGGGAGCTCGTTTCGCAACTTTAGCCGAATTCAGTGGACACTTAGGCATTTCATGAGCGAATATTTTAACTCCAACCTCAAGAGACGGTGACGTGTTCGAGAGATAGTAGAAAACAAAGAACCGGAACAAATGTGATTCTGACGGCTCGATACGTGGTTCGATTTGGATATTCTTAGTTGCTTGTGGCATTTTATTTTCCAATTCTCAAGCCGAATATTTCATTAAAATACTCAATGTAACGTTAATGTAACGGCCCGTTTCAATTTTATATTAGTAACGGTAACGCAAATCACTGGAACTTGTAACGAGAACTCGTCCCAAGTTTGAGAAGGAACAAGAAATGAGCTTTTGTTCCTGTTTTCGGAGGAACGTGTACAATGCTGACTCAAACGTAGCAAAATAAAATAAAAAAGATACCTCGCCAACTTTTCTCTAAAAACTGTTAAAATATACTGTTAAATTTGGTCGACTTGGTCATGCAGTCAAGCAATAAAAACAGCGCGAAGAGTGACGAAGAACGAGAACCCAAAAGCGCTCTCTTTTGTGTACTCATGTTCGTCCTTCGCACGTCTTCGCGCTATTTTAGTCTCTTAATTCGCACATACGTCGCAGCGATCGCGTGGCCCTATGGACACAGCACCGCCCTTCTGCACCACGGCTCCTCCATCTGAACTCGGCATTCTTAGATGCGACAGCATACTTAATAAAGGTCGTGCCACGCTACGAAGTTGAACTTATCTTTGCCAGATACTTGCACAGGCTCGTTGTTCTGGGCTGTGTCGCCATATTTAGCGTTCATCGCCAATTCGTTGTGTGTTTCTGCACATTGTGAAGACGAAATAAAAGACGGTGCGATTTAACCGGAAGGCATCGAGTAAATGAAGTTGACAATAAATTGTAGAATTTGTACCGTATACTCGATTTTCCGTGTTCTCCTCTAACGAGGTATGCCATATGCCACGGACGTAATTACTCCATCCATAGCAGCCACCGCTTTAGGGTTTCTGTCAATTTAATCAATGTGATATGCCCTTCATAAAAAAAAAAAAATTGAAATGCTTCCGCATTTTAATGTAGTCTGCAGTGAAGCACCGCAGAAACGCAGCCACCGTTGTTGTTGTTTGTTTTTGTTTTTACACAACAGACCGCTGTCAACGCTCAGCTGCATAAATAATCCGACCTCAAGACACACACAAAAAAAAAAACGCGCTTTAAATCTAGTTAAATGGTTTGATGGTTCTTGACGTCACACTGGAAGTATATATAGAACAACAGACTCTTTACAAATAAGCCCGCGTTTGCCCACACCGGGTGTGGGCAGTGCGCATGCGCAAAAACGAGATTCCGACAGCAGCGCCGCCTCAACGGCGTAGCGTCACAAAGTTGAGTTGGTCTAGAGTCATCGCTGACAGCTTACAAGTTCAAGAAACGCTGGACCTGGCTTATTACATCCATAATATACCTCGAAGACAAGGCCTCCGCGTGACGTTATGGTTAGTGGATCCGCGACCCGCCCACAAACGGCAAACTCGATTAAGCTCGACGACAGCGGGCCGCATAGAGCGCCAATAAACGCCGTGTGGTGTCGCCGCGTCTGCCGCCTTATTGCGGCGTTCGCGTTGTGAGACGCTGCGAGATGCGCTCGGGGTGATGCTGACGCAAGCTAGGTGGCGCTGCGTGGATCCACTAGTTTTAAGAAAGAATTTATAGATGTATAACTATATGTTAAATAAATATAAGAAAATACTGGATAGGACGCTAGCCGTTGCCCGATTCAAAGGGTTCAGCCTCATCCATTCAACCATCCATTGATGACGTTTGGGGGAGGGGGGGGGGGGGGGGGGGCGCAGGCCTTGTCTTCTAGTTGGTGTTTATTATGTTCACGCTTCTTGCATCGTGATTGGTTCATCGGCGTGCTCGTCTGCTAATGGCGTAATCTGACTGGCTGTGCAGCGATAATGAGATGCTCAGGGACTCTTCACGCCATGCGTTTCTTCGGCTGTCGGTGTTTACATGTATGTATAAAATATGTATGTATAAACAGAGGGTACGTACATCATCACCGCCAAGAACACGTCTGATATGCCTGTATTGTTTGTTGTGAATCAGGTTAGTGTGCAGTACCATGACGGAAGCTTGAAGACTAGCAATACATTTATTGTTGTCGTGCCGTGCCCTCAAGGGCTTTGGGGTGAAATCAGAGAATGTTGTAACATGCTCCTATTGATCCCCCCTGGCGACGTAGGGCTAAACCCTGGGCCAATGATTTTTAAAGAAACTCTTCAAAATTCCTGAATGGACAGGCAGTCATAACGAACGAAATTAAAGAAGTAAAATGAAATAAAGCTTGACTGGAGGACCGAATCGAGACACTTTCTGAATACAGAAACTGGAGGAAGGCTACCAATCATTCAAACTATGCGAAAGCGCTACCTTCACTTTACAAAACACCGTAGAGGAAATACAAGAGAAACTGGTCGAACTAGAAGATAGAAGCAGAAGAAATAAACTGATCGTTTTCGGTATTCCTGAAAAGGTAAACTAGGCCACAAGAGTCCTGAGGGAAATGGTGATCGGGGAACTGCTTTCCAAAAAACTGGGTGTACGAGTGCAAAATGCTGAACGTATTCACAGGCTGAGAGCTAAGCGCGAAAACAACACTAGACCGGTCATTACGAAGCTCTTTGACTACACCGAAAAAATTCAAGTGCTATGGAACTGTTCTAAGCTAAAGGGTACAACAATAGTAATGTCTCGAGGTGGGCTAGTCGGTGGCGCAAACGAACACAAGGAAAAGTAGAAGAAGGGACGCAGACACAGCGCTGACTCACGACTTGCTCTCGTTTTCGTCTGCTTAAAACACATCAACATAAGAAGGCAAAGAAAGAAAAAAAAACTGGTCCCCGCCTCTTGCAGGGAACAGTGTTGTATTTTTAGGTGATGCAACTGCACCTGCTTCTATTACAAACATATTGAGTAAGAGTCCAAAATACGCTACTTAGCCCCTAGTGAAGTCCCCGGAAATGCTCTCCCTTGTGAGACGGATAGCTGACAAGACTGTTGCTGAGAAAAAATGCACTTTTATCTTAGACTGTGTGGAAAGTTTAATTGGGGGCTTCAGAAAATATGTTCATCAATTTTATTTCGGACCTATTGTTTCTTTTTTTTAAGGACTCTGGGTTAAAACTGCTGGTTTCTGATAAGGAGGGAGTATTTTTAGTTGTGCCAGAAAAAGAGAAGTCTACACAAGCCGTGTCGAAAAATTTCAAACCTGTTCCTGATGTGGTTTTGGGCAAGGTGAAGACGCGTGCTGTGCAACTTTGTAAGCAACTTGGATTAGAAAAGCTTCGAAAGTCTGTCCAGGTGGCTCGTGGTCTCAATCTGGAGGTTAACTTCTCGGTGAAGACCCATAAGGACACTATGCCGTTCAGGGCGATCGTTACGCAGAGAGAGTCATGGCAGTTGCATGTCTCGAAGTATCTCCAGCATCACCTATCATCTTTGAAGTTGACTTATACTTTTTTAATTCGGAACTCTGAAGAATTGGTGGATTATCTAAGCAATGACAACCCTGGAACGTGTGATCTGGTTTTGATTGACGTGTAAGAGCTTTTCTGCTATATTCCTCATGGGGGTCTCATTCAAGCGGTCCAAATTTGCATTGAGTTAAACGGTTCTGCTGTCTTCCAGAATTCGACTGGTATTTCAGTGAAAAAGTTTTGGGATTTTCTCCGCTTTTACTTAAATTCAACTTCATTGCTTTTGAGGGCAACACGTTTCTGCAGAAATCCGGAATCTTCATTGGGTCTAGTGTTGCTCCGATATTAAGTGATATCTACCTAGCAGGTTGTGATTATGCTATTGCAGAAAGGTTAGATGATCGTTTTTTTTTAAGTCTTCAGGTATGCTGATAATTACCTGGTTGCGTTTGCTAAGCAGTGCTCAAGAAGTGCTGACTTGGTCTCAGAGTTATTAGATGCCTTTCGGGAGTGCGCTGGAGCTCTGCGGTTTTCAAATGAGGTTCCAAAAGTTCCAACTAAAAAAGCTTTGCAATTAGTTGGCCTAAACATTCGTCTTGAACCGAGTCACCTGTGCTGAGCTTATGAGCTTAGAACAAAAAGTCTCTCTTTAGCTATGAATCTACGCGCTCAAAAGTTGTAAAAAGAGTTATTGCAAAATCGTGTTTGAGAGCTTCTTTATTAAAGTTTTGTGTTCACAGAAGTTTCAACAACTTTCTGGTTTAAGACTGGCTTAACAAAAGCGGGTTCCCCGAAACTTGTCAAAGTAGGGGTTGTGGAGTCACTTTTAAAATTAGTCAGGAATCCCCTTCCAAGTTATTCAGCACCGTCCAAGTTATCTCGTTTGTGTGCTTCCATTGAGAGAGCAGAACTTCAACGTGTAGGGTGCGGGATAAACCATCGCATCAAATATGTAGCTTGTGCT